CTTACACTGAACCTACACTATAAGGCAGACACATTTAAAGAGAAGTATTTCCTTGACTTTATCAGTTCTTTCCATTTTCCAAGACTTGAACTCAACACAACAAATTGTAACTTCATAGTCTCCCTGGGGGCCAAATTCTAAGCTTATGATTCAGTTTGTATTCAGTGGAATGAAATAAGAGTTTTGCTGAAATAAAGACTTATGGGAAATCAGAAAGGACTTTAGGATTTGGGGGTTGAGCCATGTGCTTTTGAAAGGTGACAGTATAGCCATTTCTTGCTGTCTACATTGAAATTGAATATTTGAGAACCTGATCCAGTAGCTGATTTCACTGGGAGTTCTGCATATGTTGGAATTATAGGGTTAATTGGGTCTTAAAGTTGAATAGCAAATGATTTTTAAGTAGGAGTTTTGTTTTATACTTTGTTATGAAGTGGAATAGCAAATGATTTTTAAGTAGGAGTTATCTGTTTTGTTTTATACTTTGTTATGAAGTAGGATGAAAATTACTTCAACCTTAACTACAGAGTTAATGTTTTTAAGATCTGAAGTTATAATATTTATTCCTCCTCCTAAGAATGATGCATTTCTTTAGCCTCCTCCAATCAAAGATCTCAAAGTGCTTCCACAAACATTATTGAATGAAACCTTGCCACTCCTTTGTGAGGTAGCAATTTCCCCTCATTATATGGATGGGGAACCTTTGGCACAAAGAACTGAAAGGTTACTGAGAAAAAGTGAAGATAAACCAGGAATAAAATTGGAGGAAGAAGGGGAAAATCCTTTCACTGATTTCTGTGGGTCCAGAATTTCACTCCTATACTTCAGCTACAAAACCATCATTCTCCTCCTGACTTCTAGTTTAACATTTCATTTAGGTGAGGTAACTGGAAGCACATTACTATTCTCACTTATACTATTGGAAAAGTTATTAAAAGGATAATAAAATGGTACTGCTCTGCTTTCTGCTCTGGTTTATAAAGGGAAAAGGTGTGTATTGAGTGGATAAAGGGGACACAAATGTAAATTGCAGTGAGATACTGTATTTATATCAAGCTGTCAGGGGTTAGATATCATTATAAAACCTCCAATACAATGCTTGACTATTTTGTAATATCACCAAGAAGCCCCAAATATACTTATAGCCTTGTTTGCTATTTTCATATTTTGTTGTTTGTGAAAAATGGGTCCAATTTCAAATCTTCAATTGCAAATATTACCTTATTTTGTTTTTGATTTTCCTCCTGTTCTAGTCTACTAACTTTATTTTTATTTTACCTTGTTTTGTTAATCTTATTTAATATTATTGTTTGTGCAATGCACCTTATTGTTAATAAAAATAGTGCATACTATTATGAAGAAACTAACGCTTATCCTCTCCAAGGCTCTGGGATACTGCATGAACAGTTAAAAACATAAATACCCATTTGTGATCTCAGAACCTTGAATTCCAGCTTTTATGAAGCTATCATACTGCAAGTATACTCTGTCCTTGATTCTCAGTTCCACTACAGTCCCTTTGTGCTTCTGCAATGTAAAGGGACTATAAACTACATGGAATTGCCTTCCCTCACCCCATTTCCTTTAGATAGAGACATTTCTCAATTGGAATAGAGTCAGCATTGTGAGTCTGTCATTCCTTCTTCATCCCTATACAGAAAGCATGGCTGAGGGAAAAGGATGTGGATTACCTCTGTGTGCCAACAGAATAAATAGAGAACAGAATAAATCCTTGTGGAAGATGGCAGTGAGGCCTTGTCTACATCCATCAATCTAACCTACTCAATTTCAGCTATGCAAATAGAATAGCTGACTTCGACATGTCTTCTGTGCGGTCAAGTCAGTGGAGGGACTACTCTCCCATCGACTTCACCTACGGTTTTCATATCGGTGGAGTACCGGAGTCAACAGAAGAGTGCTCAGAGACTGATTTATCACGTCTAAGCAGACACAATAAACCAACCACCAGTGGATCAATAGCTCCACCCTGTAGTGAAGACAACCCCTCAGATGTAAGATAGAGCGGCCTTCAAGTCAATCCCAGAATCTGAAGGTGGTACAAAGTCTTTTTTATCTCATCTTCCTTTGGGGTTCTAACTGCTCAGTCAAAGCCAAGAACTAGGGACTCTGCTTACATAGTCTGTATGTTTTCTATATTCTGGTGGGCTATGAAGAAAATATGTTGTTTACATAAAATTGTACACCCTGGCTATCAGCCACTGGCGAGGTAAATCAATATTAGGGTGATAACATTATAAACTGTGTGTTTAGAATCCCAATATTAGATTATTGTATGGCCATTAGACATTGTTAGCAATGGTCTTTCCTTTCTATAAAACCTCCACCTAAATGACTTAGGAACCCAAGTCCCATTTTCTAAAGTGATTTAGGCTTTCACTGTGACACAGGTCCCTAAGTCATGCAGGGATTTTTGAAAATGTTGCCCATAGAGCCTGATCCAAGTCCCAGCGGAGTCAGAGGAAGGACTCCCATGGATTTCAGTGGGCGCTGGATCAGATTTATAACCAATATCACTGTTCATTGCTGTAGGAGATTTGCACTTAGGTCCTTTGAGCTAGAAGGGATGGGAATGATGAGCCTTTAAGTTTTCTGAGCGTGTAGACGTTGCAAGTAAAATTTGTACTTGGGATGAGATTGGCCCATATAACAGACAGTGTGAAAATGCTTCACTCCATGTATTTTTCCTCTTTCAAAACCCTTTAATGTACATTTAATGCCATCCTGTGACATCGGAGAGTATGATCTTAGGCAATGTGAGTTCTTATGCGCCCCACTCATGAACTGCCTTCTGCTAGAAAGCTTATTGCTAGATGTGCTCTAGATCAACTCTCTGGTGAGCCACAGTGTGCAAATGGTGTGCATGAGAGCAAACAGTCATTGCTGAAAAGCAGCATACATGACCGTGTGTTTCGTACTAGGAGGTATATAACCATATAACTGTTATAATCCTGTTTGTGTGTATTGTACCTTTAAAATGCTAACTGCTATAAGCAGAGACTGGCAGCCATTTTGTGTTGTGTTGAGGTCAGATTGTTGTATAGAACACACATACACACACATTGCTCCCTCATGCTCACTTACTTTTGTTCTTCTTAGTTTTGTTGCTTAAACTAAACTAATCTTAAGCAAAAATAATTTGGACTTAATATAGCATTTTGCTCTTTGTGTGTGGAGAAACATAATGCCTAACACTGGGGTTTTTTTTTAGCATTTTGCAATGCTACAAAAAAAATGTTAGTGGTGTCTTTGATCACTAGACACTTGTTGGAGATACTTCGATTGCTTTTCAAAGGGGTTGTGTGATGTGTGGTCCTGAAAAGATCTGGCACTGAGAGCTGCATTTATTGCCAGCCCACAACCCTGAAGTGGAGTTAGATTAATACTGATTCAATCTCAACAAACACCAGGAATGTTTTTTCTTTAAAATGTTAGATTCATACGCATCACAGAGCTAGGAATGAAATGACTAAGTAGGCTACCTTTTAATGATGTCTTAGCATGACCTTAATTCAACAATGCTCCAAAACCCTGAGAAGTCAATGAAGAGATTCCCACTGATTTTAGTGAACATTATATCAGGCACTTTGTGCCCATAAAAATTAGCACAAGCAAATTCCTGTGTGGACAGTTTTTGTGCATAATTTTCAATGGTACATGACAATGATGTAAGTTATACACACAATACCCATTTTTATCCAGTTTGCATTGCACTTTGCAGATGGCTTTTGCATATATAAAATTATCATTTGCACAGAGAAATGATAAAAGTGTATGCATGAGTATTTTACATTTCCAAAATTATATGTTCAGAAAAAGAAGTCATTTTTCCAAAATTTGCTGTTAGGTAAATCAATTTTCCAAAGCTCTCGAGTTTCTCTTTTGGCTTGTCTAACCATGTTTGAAATACCAAAAATACTAGAAAGCTGGAAATATTATTCATGTTTTTGCTTTTATAAATTGTTTGGACTATTTTGCAATTACACTATGTGTGATTTAATGATTTGTATAAACCAATTTCCACTTAATTTTTTTAAATAGGCAGAACTTGTGAAATGTAATTGACAATAATTACTTGAGTCTTGAAACTTTGCTACCCAGAGCAGTCATTTGGTTAGTGTTCTCAGAGTTAAAATCTCCTGACAATCAACAGGGAGATTCAAATATCTTGCTAATTGTAGTACCCTGACCCCTTGACATCAGCATTTCACTAGTTACTGTGCAATTTATTTGACTCTATCTTTTGCTATAACTTTCTCTTGTTTCAGTGTCAGTCAGTAGCAGGCAAATATTGGAGGGCTATACCCCTCACCACTCCAAACACGTAGCAACCCAGCAATGCATGGCACTGCTATGTTAAAAGTAAATCAAGAACAACCTCACAATATAGACTATATGCATAAGAACCTCACAATTCACAATGAAACACCTGCACTAACAATTCAGAACTCCACAGTCCAGGCCAGACCGAGACACATGAAAATCCTAAGACAGCAAAGCAACTGGTTCTCTAAGAGCTGCTGCTGAAAACAGGGTTAGAAGTGTATGCAGTTTTCAGATTTGAGGAGAGTACAAAGGTACTTTCATTGGTGTGTGCAGCACAGGGACCCCTGAGTTTCTGCATCTACAGAGAGTCTCTGTTTTCACAGTTACAACAAACCCCAAATAAGTACAAATAAACCCCTGGTTTGTTGTTCTCAGAGGTTCCCATACTGAGATCCCCGGGAATGTGTCCAACATGACCATTTTGAAATCTACAGAGAGCCCTATATGGAAGCAAGAGGGCCTTTGTTTCAGTACCTCCAGGGGGTGCCCAACAGGTCCAAAGGGCTCCAATTTATCTGCCCCGTGTAACCGCCAGTTTTGACACCCCGAAAGGTCTCCCTAAGATCTTCAGCCCCCGTAACCTTGCCCATTACAGTAACACCCACCAGGAAATCCCCTTTTCTCTCATGCCTAGAGATGGAAGTGAATATATCTACCTTTCTGCCTATTGTCCCCGATGCCTCTGGATCCACATATGTCTGGGAGACTGCGTGAGATTGGGAAGTAGCCAGGAATGGGGGGGGGGAGGAAGAGGAGCGAAAGGGATACCTCATATGGCTGCTTAGGAGAGCCTCATGTGGACAGAGAAGGAGCCAGGGGCTATTATTAGACCTGGCTGAGTTCCTAGCTATGAGAGGGAGCAGTGTTAATGTCATATGGAAAGTACTTTAGGACTAAGTGGAAAGCTTTGGATGGCACTGGCATCTTCCCCCTAACCGTCTTCCTTTCACTAACTGGTTTGTCATCAGCCACATATCACCATTAAAAAACACTGGGATCAGTGCAGGACCAGACCGCTTCCACTTCTCACTGGCAGAAGCCAAGACCCATCCCAAATGAATCCATTCACCTTTCTCCACCCCCACATAAAAGGAAACATACTGGCTGGGGAATCAGTAGAAAAGGCTTCTACTCTTGCTCTGCTAGGGTAGGATTCTCTCCCAAACCCAAGGGTGTGGGATGCCACCGTGCCAAGCACATTTAGATTAGGATTTGACCTACATAGAGACGGATTAAGGGTAGCGTTCCACTCATAAGTCTAAGAGCCAAACTTTTTCTTCAGATATTTGTGCCATTCCAATTATCTTGGATATTCCCCAGTTTAGGAAAAACACTAGAAGGCACAGAGGGCACATTATAGTTCTGTGCCACCCACTCACAATCTCTGACACAGAGGGCTTGTCAGGGGCGTGGGCCAAAACCACCTCTCTGTTCCAGTTATTCTTGGCTTCTGGAATGGTACTGTAGGTAGCTCTAGCTTAGGCCCTGGATCAAATTGGTCTCCCTCTGCCCCTGAATTTGGGGAGCCAGAAAGGTGAGGGTCCACTATTTCTCCCTAAGAGGCACTACCTTCTGCTTGGATACAGCTCAGAATCAGGGACACTGGCTTTACAGCTTTGCAGTGTCTAAGAGGAGCTTCAGAAAGGTAGTCGTGTTAGTCTGTTTCAATAAAAACAACAAGGAGTCCAGTGGCATCTTAAAGACTAACAAATTTATTAGGGCATAAGCTTTTGTGAGATGCTTTAAGCCAGCGGTGTGAAACCCGTGGGTCTTCCTGGCTCGGCTCCCGATGGGGTGGATGGAATGGCAGGGAAGCAGACCAGTGCTTTAAATTAAAGGGGCCGCAACAAAATGTGCTTTTTTCTTCAACAAAATGTGCTTTTTTCCTCAACACAAATTTTCCCAGCCCTGGAAACCTTCATAAATTAAAAAAGGTTGAGCATCACTGCTTTAAGTGAAAGAAAGGCAAGGACACTGAGATGGGAGTATAACATCAGTGCTAATTAAATCAGGGTGGATGTTCTTTCTTCCCCCTTCATCCCCTCCATTTGTCTATCAGTTCTGCTCTTACCAGGTCACTTAAACCTAAGATAGCAGGGTAGGGATATTGGCCCTTTTTAAAAGGAAGCATTAATTTCTCAAACTAAGGGTTTTTGGGTGTTTCCTAAACAAAGTTTAACTTTGAGACTTAACTCTCAACTCTGAGCAGAAAAAAAAGGGAAGAGCATTTTAGGTTAGAGATTTAGCTATGAAGACATGAGGGTCTAATTCCCTTCTCATATTGGTGTAAATCAACAGTAAATCCCTTGGAGTCAAGAGGGCAGGTCACTGGAGCAACACAGATTCACACCAGCTGAGGAAATGAACCAACATAGTTGCACTAATGTAAAACAGTGTAAATTAGAGGAGAATCTGAAGGCCCTCAATCAGTCATTTAAATCTTAACATATTTCGAAGCAAGTACAGAAAAAATATAGCTTCTAGGACAGCAATGAGCAACCTAGGCTAGCGAGTGGGCAGTATGAGTGGCCCTCTTTCATCTCAGTGGGCCGCAAGATTGTCATATCTAAGATGATTTCCTGGGATAGGGTAATTTTGCTAACTGTGCTTGCATGCCTAGAATGTACAGGATGGGCAGACTAAACTGTAGCAGCGCTTTGACTGGAAGCCGGGTTGTGTGAAATCGGCATCCGCCTCACTTCACACGCCCTTGCTTTACATGTGTGTCACTTTAGTGACACTGGTAGGAAAAAACAACACGGGCAGAAACCAGTGGAATCTGGTAATCCTGCACACGGGCAACGGTGAACAAAATGTCTCTCAGGCCACACACAGAACCCTGATTCACCACATGTGGAATCCAGGCTGCCAGGGTTGCCCACCACTCCTCTAGAATGAAGGTCATACACTGGATTAATTTTATGCCTACGTTTTTATGTGAAAGAGATATTAAGCCAGGTCTCAGGATACTGAAAATCTTTTTTTACCTCTTTTTTATTTTTAAACACTGTTGATTAATTATAAAAGCTTGGAAAATTGAAACTGAAATATAGACTCATAGACTCATAGACTTTAAGGTCAGAAGGGACCATTATGATCATCTAGTCTGACCCCCTGCACAGTGCAGGCCACAGAATCTCACCCACCCCTCCCAGAATAATCTTCTCACCTGTATCTCAGATATTGAAGCCTTCAAATACTTTGAAGACCCCAAGATGCAGAGAATCCTCTAGCTGTGATCTGTACCCCATGTTACAGAGGAAGGTGAAAAACCTCCAGGTTCTTCCTTATCAAGATTTTTTATTCTGCTACTTGCAGTTAGTGGTTTGTTATCACAGGCTTTTTCAAAAGCGCCAGGAAGGACAGTCAGGTGCACTTCACTACTAATACTGATTATGTTGCTTTTTAAGATGTATGGCACAAAGTATGTAAATCTTTTGAAAAATGCGTATCTAAAAGATTACCATGGAGTTTCCTAGTTGAACTAAAAAAATATTAAGCTGGTAAAAGATTATTACTGTTCCTCTTTTCTGTTGACCAAATTGCATGGATAGATGGTTGTATGAATTACTAGATTGTTCTTATTAAAACTTCAGTTTTATTTTAGAAATCCAGTCTAACGCCGTATTTTTTTTTTTAGAAGCCAAGAAGGAATGTTAGATTGAGGATGAAATGCCACAGCTGTGCTAAAAGTGAACCATAGCCTCCAAATTACCTTGTTCCCCTATTAAACGGAACAATTTATAGTATCTTGGTGGTTAACACAGACTGCTTGTGTAATAAATTGTATTTATTTGGAATCATATTGCTGACATAATAATAATAATCATGTTTCACTTTTGGGTGCATTTCTTGAGCTAATTTGTATAATGAGTCTGTTCCATAAAAACACTAACTGAGGCTTTTAAAACAAATTTATTTTTGTCATTAATGTAATTCTAAATATTTCTGTTGCAATTAATTGAAATTAATCAAGGAGCCTGACTCATCACTAAAATACTCTAGCTTTATGCCAGTGTAACTCCACTGAAATCAGTACTGATTTAACTCTGTAAAACTGGAGTAACACAATGGTGAATCAGGCCCAAGATGTGTCTGCTGAAATTAAAGCTCTTCTTCAGTGTGAAGAACCCTGCCTTCCTCTTTTCACGCAATTGAGTCATAATCCTTCCGTTATGATATCATCTGTTGTCAAGGTGACTATAAGGACAAAATGACTGACTAAGGAGTGGGTGAGGACTAATATTTTTGCTTCACTTCAGCAAACTAGTAATAACAGAAAAAGAAAAAAGTAATGACAATAGGACAAATAAGTGATTCTTTTAACATTTCTAAAATATAAAGGCCTTTACAGGGAACTACAGAAGTTAGTGTAGTATGACAAAGACTGATATATAATGGAAAGGCAGATGTACACATAAACATAATAAAGGAGTGGAAACATTGGTTGGGTTTGAGGTTTTGGAGTAGAGTTTTGCATGGCACTGTTCAGTCAGTACATACTAACTTTCATGTAACTGCCATGAATAGAGTATTTTCTTTCTGATTATTATTTTTCTGATTATTGCTGATTAGTGATTACCAAGCTGTATGGGCTAGAAAAACACACATTGAATTCCAGAGAGTATGTTTATCTGAGTAAAGAGAGGCAAGATTAAATGCAATATACAGTAGTTACAGTTCATCCATGAATAAAAACCTATTTTGAGTGTATCTTATTTGCTATATATGCAAGTCTTCCATACATATAGCTTTTAATTGTGTCATGGTTAGAGATTGGTAGATACACAAGCAACTGTGACTTTTAATTGGTTTTTGTAGAGTTTTATGGTCACTTTTTATGCCTGATTCAGAAAATACAGCATAGTTTAATTTCTTTTCCAATCCACAATGTCATGACCGTCTGGTCACTTCTTTTACTGCCACCATTCAAACATTAAGACCTATGTGCTAGTTTAACCTTGTCTTTACTTATTATCAATCCTGTCATTGCACAGTGGTTTCATTCTCGCCTGTGCTAAGATGACAAATTCATAATTTCACACAGGTGTTTCATTAAACTGGTTCACAAAAGTCTAACCTAAAATTCTTCTGGCTTCCTTCCCTCCTCCTCTGTGAATGTCTCCTTAGCATGTCCACTTCCTCTCAGTAAAGCCACAGAAGACCCTACACAGGAGTTCTTTAAGGCTCCAGATTTGTGGGTTGGGGTGGACTACCTGTGGATTCTATGTTAGTGAACATGCATCTAGAAAGACTAAGTCCAGAGCGAGTCTAAATTGGTACAGCATATACACTGAAGGCACTGCTCAGACTCTCCCCACATGTGGCCATAGGGACTGAATACTTCCTCTCATCTAGAGCTCAGTCCTTTTCTTTAGGACATAGCTGGGGCATGCAACTGCTTCCCCTGAGGAGTCATCTACAGCACTGTGGCCCCAGTTCAGCATGGTGCCTACCTGTACGCAGGTACTAATCCCATTGACATCAATGGGCTGCTCCCATGCTTACACGTTACTGAACCGGAGCCTGTGTGCACAAACAGAGAAGTTGATTGTTGTACCAAATGCCAGCTGAACAGAGAAGGAATAAGTCAGGGCAATACAATTTTAATTTGAGAACAGCAGAGAGTAGCAGGAGGAATGTGTCTGGAAGAGTATTCGTATCTATGTGTATCGCCAAGAGCCTAGTAGTAAACTGGGACCCAATTACTCTAGATGCTTTAAAACACAGATTATTAGTATTAATTATTTGTACTGCTGTAGAGATGAGACTATGTTGGTGAACATGTATTTGAGAGAGAAAGATTATTTGAATGGAGAATTCTAGTGTAATCCTGTTATCGGTTCTCCATTTCAGTCAAAATGCAAACACTAATTTTGTTTCTAAGATACGTGTTGACCTATGCTGTAAACCAAGGGTAATTCTGAACCTGCCAGTATCTATCAGTCCACAGGGCCAAGACCCTGAGGTCCCTCTGAATTGAAATCTCTTTCTGGCTCCGTCAACTTGATTCCCAGGTTGCCTTGCAGATAATGCAGCATGCCAGCCACCCGCTGCTTTTTCATTTAAATAAATGAGAAAGTTGTGGCGAAATTAGCACCCCGGTGGTGGCAATAAGGACAGACGCAGCAGCTGCCCTGAAGTATGTAAATTGCGGTTTTGCACATTAGGGGTTGATGTTGTTTAATTTCTAGGTGTCTTTCTGGCTTTTACTTGAAAAGGAGCCTCTCACCCATTTGAGATGGCTTTTAAAAAACTAAAACAACCCATGTAACTGTCATGGATAGTAGTAGTTCCAGGATTTCCTTTCTGGTCATTGTGGATAATTAGTTTTTACTGAGTTATATGTGCAGGCTGCTGCTTATAGATAAAAGCGACATTGACCTCCACAAACATATAGCCTGAGTAAAGAAGGCAGGACTAGACCTGTATATAAAGACCAATTTTCCTCTTCCTTGTCCTTCAGCCCAATTCATGAAGGGATACCACAATCCAGCATCTCAGTATCAGGGTTCTTTCTCTGGAAATGACTTGGCACCGCACAGAGAAGAACTGGGAAGTCAGTGAACTCATCAGATGGCAGGAAGAGGCTGATTAGACTGGACAGAACATCTCTTTATATCAGCTGAGGTAGGGAAGGAAATACAAAGAAGTTTACAGTGTGAGGTGTGACATAGTGGGGATTTTGTCCACTCTTGTGGTCCACTGTGTTCACTCTGTTGTTACATTCACTGTTTGCTTTGTTGTGCTCTATGCGATTCCTATTGTCCTGGGTTGCTCTGCAGTGATTGTGTGCCTCAGTTTCCCTGGGCACTGCAGCACTATGTTCAGTCTCTCACATCCTGAGGACCAAGGGACAGTAAATAATACCTGGAAGCAGGACAAAGGAGGAGGCGTGGCGGGCTGGGTGTCCAGTTGCTGGGAGTGTGAGGGAGTTTTTCTTCTGGCTGGGGGAGAAGGGAGTCTAGCTGGCCTGGAGGGCCAGGGCAGGGGCCCAGAGCTCTGTGCCCCCCTTTTCCCCAAGATGTGCTGTATTGGTTCCTGTAACAAGCAGTCTGAGCTATGGTGAGTCCCTGTGAACCAAACCTGTTCTACTTGCTGGCTGAGAGCAGGGCTGGACCGAGCCATTCCGGTGCCCCGGGCAGACAGTTTAATTGAACCCCGGGTTGGGGAAGGACGCATGCGTGGCCCCGCCCCTGTGCTAGGCCGTATCTGGCCGTGCAGGGCCCCGCAGCTGCGGGGGGAAGGGTGCTGCTGACCGGCACTGTGGGGATTAATGCGACCTCCGCCCCGGGCGGCCACTGCAAGGTGGCTGCTGGGAGCTGCTGCAGCCCGTGCCCCTTACAGCTGCAATCAGGCGCCCCCCATAGGTTGGCGCCCCGGTCAGCTGCCCAGCTAGCCCATGCCTTAATCCGGCCCTGGCTGAAAGTCATGTCTGGCTTCAAATGGGGGTGCAGGGTTGGGGACTCCCTGACACGCCATGACAGGAGGTTAATGAGTTCTACAGAAATATATGTCTGGACTTCCTTTTTAGTGCATTTACTATATGAAATAATAGTACAGATTCAATTGTAATAGTCACATGGGGCCAAATTAAGAATTCCACACGCAGAACTGAATTGAAAGTGGAGAGAGGAGGTACATAGTCTGAAAGTGTAGGAGCTGGAACCTTATAACTCTAAGGGTATGTCTAGACTACATGCCTTTTTCGACAGAGGCTTTTTCGAAAGTATCTTTCGAAAAAGCCTCTGTCGAAAAAGAGCATCTAGATTGCATTACACGGATTGAAAAATTGATCCGCTTTTTTGAAAAAGAGCGTCCAGACCGCTGAACGCTCTTTCAAAAAAAGAAGGCACCTAGAAGTGCTTCTGGCAGGGCAGAGGGGCAACCTTTATTTCCAGATGCTGTTGCATGCTCTTTGCAGAGACGCGTGCTTAAAGGGATCCCCCTGGACAGTCGTTGCTCTGCTCCTGCTTCTGGCTTGCCTACCTCCTAGAGGGAAAGCAACTGCCTGCCTACCTCCTAGAGGGAAAACTGCTGCAGTCCTTGCTCTGGTTGCCCTGCTTCCTCAGACACCACAGCAGTTTGTTTTCAGGTTTGTTTTTGTGTGTTTCACTGTGTTTTTGGCCATGGAGCCCGAGCTGCCCCTGGGCAGGCGACGGCCCCACACTGTGATGTTGGAAGTTCTGCTGCAGCTTCATGAGACCATCATGATGTCTGTGGCAGAGCTGGATTCAGATCCCAGCTTCGAGCCCCTCACTCAGGCTACAGCCCCACTGACCTTGACACCGAACTTATTCTTGGAGAGGCGAGTTTGGAGGCTGGACACCAGTTCAGACTGGTGGGACCGGCTTGTTATGCAGCAGTGGAACGATGACCATCCAGCTGCACAAGTCCACCTTCCAGGAGCTCTGTGCCTGGCTTGCCTCTGCCCTGCAACACCAGGACACCCACTTGCGGCCCACCATCCCCTTGGAGAAGCGTGTCGCTATTGCTCTGTGGAAGCTGGCCACCCCCGACAGCTACCGCTACATGGGACATCAGTTTGGCGTGGGGTGGTCTACTGTTGGGGACATCTTGATGGAGGTAAGTCACTCTCAGGGGACAGTCCATGGGGACGGGGGTGGGCGGATAAGGAGGACAGTCAGGATCAGGCACAGGGAATGGGGGAGGGGGTGGGAGTGGTAGAAGCCTGTCTGGCCTCACCCTGCAGTGGTGTGTGGAGTACGAGGGGGGGTACCTGAGGGGGAGCTCTTGGAGTGTGGGAGAGGAGGGGTGAGGGAGCACCTCTCATCAGCTCACACAACTCCTCTAATGTCCTGTTATGTGTATTTGTCCCTTTCTGCAGGTGGTGACGTCCATCAACTCAGAGCTGCTTCACAGGACTGTCCACCTCGGAGACCATCTTGGCTGGATGCTGTGGTAGAAGTCCTCCTGGCATCACCCTGCCATTGTGCAGGTAAAGGATGGGGAGTTGCCTGAGGGGTGGGGCTCTTGGGGTCTGGGAGGGGAGGGGTGGGGGATCACCTCTCATCAGCTCATGCAACTCCTCTAATGTCCTGTTATGTGTGTTTGTATTTATCCCTTTCTGCAGGTGGTGACAGTCATTAACTCAGAGCTGCCTCACAGGCTGTCCACCTCAGAGACCTGGAGACCATCTTGGTTGGATTGGCGAGGCTGGGTTTTCCGAACTGCGGTGGAGCACTCGATGGGACTCATGTCCCAATCCGTGCACCACCCTATTGAGCAGCATACTATATTAACAGAAACGGCTACTTTTCGATGGTGCTGCAGGCCCTGGCCAACCACCGAAGACAATTCACAGACATTTGTGTCAGGTGGTCAGGCCAGACACACAATGCCTGCATATTCCAGAACTCATACTTGTACCGCAGGCTGCAGGTTGAGGCATTCTTTCCCGAAAGAAACTATGCAGTTGGGGATGTTCAGATGCCTATGTGCATGGTGGCCAATGCGGTGTACCCCCTTTTGCCCTGGCTCATGAAGCCATTCATGGGACACTTGGATGCGAGCAGGGAACTCTTTAACTCCCGCCTACATCGGGCTTGCTTCCAAGTGGAGTGCGCCTTTGGCCATCTGAATGGCAGATTTAGATGCCTGCTTACTCAGCTGGACATGGAGGAATACAACATCCCCGATGTGGTTGCTGCATGCTGTGTGCTGCACAACTAGTGGAGAGGACAGGGGAGGCCTTCCTCCCTGCATGGGGGACACGGGCTGATGTGGATGGGAGGCACTTTGAGCAGCCCCAGACAGCTGCCATCCGGCAAGCCCACCAGCTGGTACTGCGCATTCAAGAAGCCCTGAGGGAGCAATTCTCCCAAGAAGGCAGATGATTTTCCCCAGGGCCTTCCAATTGTGTGATTGCCCCATACTCCCAGTGCTTTCCTCCCGAAAACCCCTCCCGGCCCCACATTCACACATTGTACGCATTCATCACACATTGACAACAGAGACAGGTGTTGGTGAAAAAATGTTTACAGTTTATTTCACTATTGGTTTTTTGAAAAACTAAAATACTCTTTTGTTCAGAAAAATAAAGTGTTTGTAAACAAAGTAAAGTGCTTCCCCAGTGACTCCCACGGGTGGGAAGGAGGAATGTCAACCTGGAAGGGGGGAGGGAGGCTCAGGGCTGAGGGTGCTACCTTGATGAAGAGCCCCTGGCACTTTGGCTGTGGAGGCCTTTTTGCAGACGGCTGCGCCTGCGGGCTGGGACAGTAGGGGTCTGGGAAGGAGGTGGGACTATACCTGGGTCTGGGATGGCAAGGGCTGGAGAGGGCAGGGGCTGAGTGGGGGGCAGGTTGAGCAGCAGCAGCAGAACCAGGCACAGGACCGAGGAAGGCCATGGACCTCTTGGATAGCAGCGCAAATCTCAGTGCGCTGCTGGACATACTCATCCAGCAAGCACCTGCGCCACTCTGCCTCTGCCTCCATCCTCTGGTTTGTTGCATCCTACATCCCTTGAAGGACCGAGATGTGCTGGAGCACCAGGTCCAAATACGTGTGCCAGTGCCAACGGATTCCCTGCAGCCATCTGAGTGGTGGGGAAGGTGTGGCGCTCCCCTCCTGGTCAGCTGGTCCAGCTGTGGAGGACAAGAGGGAAAAATCATCAGTCAAGCATGCTCAAACTTACCCTGAGAGCGCATGCCATCCTTTTCAGCAGTCAGTGCCTGTCCTAGGGTCAGAGGATGCGGCTTGCACCTGGCACGGGCACCGTAGCCAGCCCGTGCCCCTTTAAGGGGTCCGGGGCCGGGAGGGGGGCATAGAGTTTCCCTGGTGTTGGCCAGAGTGGCCACCAGGGAAACCTGGGAAGCCTTAGCCTCCCCCTAGTTCGAACTAAAGGGCTACACAGCCCTTAGTTCGAACTAGCTAGTTCGAACTAGGCGTTAGTCCTCGTAAAATGAGGTTTACCTAGTTCGAACTAAGCGCTCCGCTAGTTCGATTCAAATTCGAACTAGCGGAGCGCTAGTGTAGCGCATAGGAAAGTTAGTTCGAACTAACGTCCGTTAGTTCGAACTAACTTTCTAGTGTAGACATACCCCTAGAGACCATCTTGGCTGGATTTGCAGGGCTGAGTTTTCCGAACTGCGGTGGAGCACTCAATGGAACTCACATCCCAATCCACGCACCACCCCATCGAGCAGCACAGTATATTAACAGAAAGGGCCACTTTTTGATGGTGCTACAGACCCTGGTCGACCATCAGGGACAATTCACAGACATTTGTGCCGGGTGGTCAGGCTGGGCACACGATGCCTGCATATTCTGGAACTCATACCTGTACCACAGGCTGCAGGCTGGGGCATTTTTCCTGCAGCAAAACTATGCAGTCAGGGATGTGCCGATGTCTATGTGCATTGTGGCTGACGTGGCATACACCCTTATGCCCTGAATCATGAAGCCATTCATGGGACACCTGGATGCAAGCAGGGAACTGTTTAACTCCCGCCTGAATCAGGCTCGCTTCCCGGTAGAGTGCTCCTTTGGCCATCCAAAGGGCAGATTTAGATGCCTGCTCACTTGGCTGGACATGGGGGAACACAACTTCCCTGATGTGGTTGCTGCATGCAGTGTGCTACACAACCTATTGGAGAGGAAAGGGGAGGCCT